GGGGAAGGGACGAGGAAGCAGCGGCGCTAGGGTTCCCCCGGTCACCGCGCAGGGGCGACACGGGAGGAGTCGGGAGGGGTCGGGCACAGGGAGTCGGGACACATCAGGGGCATCCTGCAACCACAACTCGGGGCATCCTGCAACCACAACTCGTTTCGGTGCTCCCCTCTCAACAAATAGGCTAGTCGATCTACAGCCGTATTTTCCATACCGTACCCTTCGGTTGCTCTTCCCATTGCCAACATTAATCCTTCCACCAGGGCCGGGTTAACCACCTAATGTTTTCCTCGCAAAAAAAACTACCTAATGTTTCAAATAAACGCACATAGATATTAGCAATCTCTTCCCCCTTCGTGTTTCTACTGATGAATAGCCGCACCTCTTTCCCTTCCACTGACATGGATGAAGGTGGCCATGAGCTCCATCCAAGAGTCGTATGCATGACCGCGAGGCAAGAGAGGATGCTGGTGCATTTTATTTTATCTTTGCGGGGAGAAGATGCTGGTGCATTTGAAGTATAGATATAAGAGTTACTTTGTACTCTCTTGAATCTACAATTTGAGGCATTGTGTCTATAATTATCGTGTATGAATAAAGTTATGGATCATTCAGAAAAAGTAGTGTGGTGGTTCGCGCCCGATACCGTAACCCCCGATCCTCTGCCCCTAACGCTAGCTTCTCCGGCAAGGTCTCTCCAATCTACCTCCGTTGTTGTTGCATGTCGTCGACAACTTCCCTTGCTTTCCATACTCTCAAAGGTTGAAATCAAAGGCATTGCCAATTGCAAAAGGAAATTAAAGGGCTAGACCATATCCAAGTTGCTTAAAAAAATTTATTTGTTACCCCAGTTGATTTTCTGCCCTATCTTTCGTAGCCTTCTTCTTCCTCCTCTCGTCGATCACCTTCTTCTTTCACCTGTCCGCTCGCTGCCAACAACCCAACCATTGCCCCCCACTACTCACGGTAGGGGTCCCGCTGCCATGTTGCCCCGCTCTGCCTGAGCCGCCTTCTCCGCCCCAACCATCCCTGGGACGCTCCAATGACCATCCGTACCCGTGAACCTCTAAGTCTAACTCCCCTCCACAGATAACTACGTGGCTAGCCTAGTCGTCCCCATTGCCCCACGGCTGGCCGCTGATCACATTGAAAACACGAACACACGCACACACGAGATCTTTTGACGTGCCATTTGTAATTCTGAGTAGATTGGGTGGTACGTTGCTTCCAGTCGCCTAGTCGGTTACTAATGCCTAACCTAACACGAAGACCACTTGTTACTACTAGCACATGATAAGGACGGCCTTGCGGAAAGGTCATCAAGGACGACGCTCGGGCATGGGCTTCTGCCTGGGCCAAGGACATTGCAAACTTTATGCCTCCCTGATGTGTAGATAGCTAGGTTGGGGCCGAGCACCCCCATCTATTCTGCTCATGTACCACTTTTCCACGCCAACTATGCGTACGTGGTAAAGTGATACCCGTGTAATCCTGTCACTCTTGTTTTCTACCTATCAATGGAATGATAAGTATCTTGCGTATTCGCGAAAAAGATAAGGACAACACGGTAGCTACTACTACTAAAGTTTGTCACGTTATCTACTATAAATACTAACTCTGCCATGACTCAGCCAAGACCACGTGCACAAATCTGACTCAAATTGCCACTGACTTTGCACAGACATAGCTCAAGATTACTCTTAACACTCCCCGTCTCTCCATCGACGGCGCACTCTCGCCTTCATCTTCCAGAAAAACCGACCGCGTCATTGTCATTTCCACGCAACTTACCCATACCAAACGTGCTAGCTAGCTGTGTCTTTGCCATAGTAGTGTGGCAGCCCATACGTACCCGCACCATGTGCACGGTTCTCAGCTCTTACCATAGAGACAAGGCGCTCGTGAAATCGTTGCACCGGCCAGTACCAAAGGGTGGTCCGGTTGTTTTCAGATTCCAAATCGACGGCGCCACCCGTGCCAATACCATGTGGCGGCCATGACTGGCACGCGATTGATGCATGCATGCCTACGCGGCAACGATGGAGACAAGGCATGCAGATCGCATGTGATCCGTCCACGTCCACGTCCACGGCCCACGCCAGCTGCCCAGCCCTGCAGAACTCCACATCATTGCCGTCTACGGGTACAAGTACGTGAAACGTGAGTGCACCGGCCGTGCTATAACTAGCTGGCCTGCTTCGCGTGAGTTCATCCATCCATCCACCATGGCCTCCGACCGCCTCGCCGCCCTCAAGGCCTTCGACGAGACCAAGGCCGGCGTGAAGGGCCTCGTGGACGCCGGCGTCAAGGCCGTCCCGGACATCTTCCGCCACCCTCCCGACCCGCTCTCCCCGTGCACCAAGGTCGCCGCCATCCCGGTCGTCGACCTCTCGGGTCCCCGCTCGGAGGTGGTCGGCGCGGTGAGGGAGGCGGCGCGGACGGCGGGCTTCTTCCAGCTGGTGAACCACGGCGTGCCGGAGGCGGCCATGTCGGGGATGCTGGCGGCGGTGCGGCGGTTCAACGAGGAGCCCGCGGAGGCCAAGGCGCCCTACTACACGCGGGACGCCGGGCGGCGCGTGCGCTACAACTGCAACGCCGACCTCTTCCGGACGCTGCTGGGCAAGTGGCGCGACACCATCTACATGGACGACGTGGACCAGCTGGCGCCGGGCGAGGAGGAGGAGGTCCTCCCGCCGGCGTGCAGGGGCGTCGCACCGAAGTACACGGCGCAGATGCGGATGCTGGGGCGCGCGCTCTTCGAGCTGCTGTCGGAGGCCCTGGGCGTGCGGCGCGGGTACCTGGAGGAGGAGGCCGGCTGCCTGGAGACGCTCAGCGTCGCCGGCCACTACTACCCGGCATGCCCGGAGCCGCACCTGACGCTGGGCGCCGTCAGGCACAACGACCCCGGCTTCCTCACCGTGCTGCTCCAGGACGGCGTCGGCGGACTCCAGGTGCTCACGGACGTCGAGGACGACGAAGGGAACATGTCCGCCGCGTGGGCCGACGTGCCGGCGGTGCCGGGGGCGCTGGTGGTGAACGTCGGCGACTTCCTGCAGCTGGTGTCCAACGACAGGTTCCGGAGCGTCGCGCACCGCGTGGTGGCCAACAGCGTGGGGCCCCGGATGTCGGTGGCGTGCTTCTTCAGGGCCAAGGGAGCTACGGTGTGCGCCCCGGTGGTCATGGACGGGGGTGGCCTGCCGCGCTACCGGACCGTCACGGCGGAGGAGCTGCTCCGCTCGTCCGGGAAGCAGAACGGGCTCCGTGACGTGAGGCTCTAGCCGGCGAGCCTCAAGAAAGCAGAGAGGAGAGACGAGGCGTGAATGCTTGTTGGAACATGGTGATGAAATGCTTGTCGATGAAGTTGGAGCCTTGCGTGAATTTGCTTATCTTTGTCTGAAAAATAAAACCAATTTGCTTATCTGCTCATGCAAGCAAAATTGTTCATGACTTTGGAGCTTTGCACGAGTTTGTTATCTGTTCATGCAAGAAAAAATGTTCATGAAAGAAGCAAACTTTGCTGACCGATGCCCTGAAATCGTACAAGAGCTTAAATTGCTGACGAAGTAAGAAATAGGAGAAGAGATGACGCTTCCCATTCCGCAGACGAGGCTCTCTTCATGCTTTGTGTGCTCCGGCACTTCGTCAGTTTTTCCTTGCTTTGTGACTTGTGACTAGTACTAGTAGAGCAACTTGAAAATATATTTACAGTGGTATAAATTAACCGGTTTGCTAAAACTCTGTCGACCAAGATTTAATCAAGTCTTAGTCGACAGAGATTTAACCAAGTCCCAGTCGACTACATAGCCGTTAGATCTTTGCATGAAGATTTGTCCTGGCTGAGCACCGTTCAACGGACCTTCAGCATTTTGTACCACTGTTTGCAACATATCTTTCTATCGGTTGCAGCATCTGTCTTGCTGATTCTAGCATCTGCCCTCGTCGATCGTAGCATGTCGTCCCATCGGTCACACATCCGCCATTGATAGTTGCAACAAATAGTCCCAACGGTTGTAGTGTCTGTTGTGTTGCTTGTAGCCTGCTTGCAAAAACTTTGTCGTTGGTTGCAGCATATAGTCACAACGATTGTAGCGTTTGTTGTCTTGCTTGCAGCATGCTTGCAACATTTTTGTTGTCGGCTGTAGCATCTAGTCATGCCACTCATAACACTACAGCTATGATGATGTCACTCGACTGGGACTTCGTTAAGTCTTAGTAGAGTGAGTTATAAACAAACCCAAATTATGATGTTTCATTGATCAATGTTGATATGGCCACGTGTAATTTAAGTGCGATGATCACTGTTGATACAACAACGTATTCATCTAGTACTGAATATGCTGCAGACGTTTTTCAAGACGAAGATGGATTAGTAGGCACTATATCTAAGCATGACACAGTTGTACAAATAATGAGCAAGTGTGGAGTTATGTTTCTATATTCCCCTAAATCAGGACGTGAAGGAGCATGCATGGTGCATGGGTGTGGGTCCAAAAGTCAATTAGAAGCCATCAAGTTGTGTACTACGTGGATGTGCAAGAGTTTTTTTTTAGGGTAAAGCAAAGCTTTATAGATTAACGACGTCCGGGCATATCACCCAGCACGCGATCAGCCACATTGGGCGGTACAGAGTCGTTCCATTCCATACATATATTTGGCAAACAACTACAACCAATCTGAGCTAGTTCATGTGCCACGGAATTCATAGTCCGTCGACAGGCACGCACATGCCATTGGGAGAACGACAACTTGAGCTGGAACTTGATATCTTCGATGATCGCTGCATATGGTGAGGAGTTTGCTTTCCGGATATCCAAAGCATCAGCTAGCAGCTCTGAGTCCGTCTCAAACGCAACTCTAGTGGCTTCAAGCTCAGCTGCTGTCGACACTGCCGCAGCCATGGCGCTTACCTCGGCGCCAAATGCATCATGGATGTGTTCCTGTCGACCAGCTCGCGCAACAATCACGTGTCCACTGCTATCCCGAGCAACAACTCCCCATCCCCCAAAAGATTCCCCAGGGGTGAAAGCCCCATCTAAGTTAAACTTGATCACGTTGCTCTCAGGTGGCTGCCATCTCCCAGGGGACACTTTGTCCTTAGCCGGCGAGAAGATCTGCTCATACTCCAATGCATTACTTCTAATGCGTCTCACAAGCTCTGTTGCATGCACTGGTAGCTCTCCTTCTCGGACTTTATTTCTATTATTCCACCAGTGCCACCAGAAGGTTATGATCAGCACTCTCTTCTTCTCCTCCAGTTCCCAAAGAGCATCAAGCATTGCATGCACATTGTTAATCCCTTCTGGTTGCGCTCCTGCTCCAACCCCAGGTGTCTCCATATCTCCTTGACGAGCTTGCATTTTATGAATAGGTGTCCACCATCCTCTTCTCCTCTGCCGCATAGGAAGCAACATGGTTTCTCCAATTTCATACCCCTTCTCACTAGATTGTTGCACAGAGCCAAAGATTCATGTCTAATCCTCCAATATAAACATCTGCAGTTTCGTCGGACATGGCAGTTTCCATATTCGTTTCCAAGTTGGGTCACTACACCCTTCAAGCTGTCCAGCTCCCGAAGTACTTGAGGTCGGCGCTCCGTTTCTTTCCTGCTTTGCCAACTCGACCTGTAGCTTGTACGCACTTCTCACAGAATGAATGCCCTTGCTATCGAAGTGCCACGCTATGAAGTCCTCCACCCCATCCCGTAGCGGAATCTGCAGTATGTGTTGTGCATCCTCCGCACAGAAGGTGTCTTTGACGAGCCGCTCATCCCAATCACCGGTTAACGGGCAAATTAGCTCATGGACACGTGAAAGCAAGCTGGCACCTTTTGGAGTGATTACCCGTCGTGACCAGGGCCTAGGTATCCATGGGTCCTGCCAGATGTTGATGTTTGATCCGTCCCCTACCCTCCAAATGTACCCTTGCTTCACAAGGTCCAGGCCATGTAAGATACTGCGCCATGAGTAAGAAATTCCATCATGGGCTTCGACTTCGAAGATACTGCAGTTAGGAAAATAACGAGCCTTTAGAACCCTTGCACACAGGCTAGTAGGATTTTGTATGATCCGCCAGCCTTGCCTTGACAGCATAGCTAAGTTGAAGTTGTACATGTCTCGAAAGCCTAGTCCTTCCATTGCTTTTGGTTGAGCCAATTTCTCCCAACTTATCCAGTGCATAGCATTCTGCTTATCCTGTTGGCTCCACCAAAATTTACCAAGCAGAGTATTCAGCTCCGTACAAAAGGATTTGGTTAGATCAAAGCAGGACATAGCAAAGGTCGGGATAGCCTGTGCCACGGCTTTCACAAGCACTTCCTTACTTTCTTTCGCCAAGAGCTTCTCCTGCCACCCATACACCCGTCCACACAAGTTTCTTTTTATGTAGTTGAAGGCCTTTTTCCTTGAACGTCCCACATGGACAGGCAGTCCAAGATATTTTTCGTTCCATTCTTCACTCTGTATGCCCAACGCTGCCTTGACAGAATTCCTAGCATTATCACAAGTGTTTGGACTGAACATGATAGCAGATTTTTCAGTATTGATACACTGGCCAGAGAAATCCTCATACAACTGAAGGACTTCATGCAACTCCGATGCTTCTTGCTGGTCCGCTTTGATTAAGAGCATAGAGTCATCGGCGAAGAGAAGGTGTGATACACATGGCGCCCGTGGGCAGATCTTAACCCCATGCATGGTGCCTCTCTCTTCCGCATCCAGCAACAGAGCAGATAATCCTTCCGCACAAATAACAAACAAGTAGGGAGAGATTGGGTCGCCCTGCCTTAGACCTCGCAACGGACTAAACTGATGAGTGAGCTCTCCATTAACCTTTATTTGGTATCGAACTGTCCTAACACACTTCATGATCAGGTCAATCCATTGCCTCCTGAATCCTAATTTGCATAGCATAGCCTCCAGGAAACACCATTCTACTCTATCGTACGCTTTACTCATGTCTGCCTTGATAGCTGCAACACCACTCTTACCATTTCTCTTATTCATCAAGTAATGTGAGACCTCATATGCTATAAGTACATTGTCTGTAATCAGTCTTCCGGGGACGAAAGCACTCTGATTGTCAGAGATGACTTCAGGTAGCACCAACTTGAGTCTGTTTGCTAGGACTTTGGAAACCATCTTGTAAACAACATTACACAAGCTGATTGGACGCAGGTCCTTGATTCTCCTTGGATTCTTGACCTTAGGGATCAGTACCACCATTGTGTCATTCCAGCCTTCCGGGAATTCACCCCCATTTAGCACAGCCAACACTTCTTCTACGATCTTGTCTCCCATAAAGTGTCAATGACGCTTCAATACAATTGCCGGTATACCGTCCGGTCCTGGGGCCTTCAGATCACCAATGTGGTCAAGTGCAGCTTTCACTTCCTCCCGGGTGTATTCTGCCTCCAGGATTGCATTCATAGAGCTCGATACTCGTGGCCGAACCTTATCAATCAGCTCAGAAAGTCGGTGTCGGTTGGATGAGGTGAACAAATCCTGAAAAAATGAACACACATAATTAGTTAGTGCTTCTCCTTCCTCCACCACTGTGCCATCCTCCCTCCTAATCTCCTTCAATTTATTTGATCTCTTCCTGGCCGACGCAACCGATTGCAAATACTTGATATTTTTGCTCCCGCCACGAAGCCACCACATATGTGCCCGTTGCTGAAGCCGCGTGTGCTTTTTCTCCTTCAGTTCCTCCAGCAAGCATCTAAGTCGTGCTTCCTCTCGGATCTTTGCTTCAGAGACCGGTTCGAGCATGCATTTCTCAAGATCATTACGTGTCTTCTTAATTCTGCCATCCAATTCGCCCACCACCTTCCTACTCCATGTGCTCATATCACGTGCTACTCCTTTGAGTGCCTCGGCCACACCTCCAGCCCCTTCTCTACAGCCAGCTTCCCAAGCCTCCTTTACCACTTCCTGGCATCCTTCCTCCTGCAACCAACTGGCCTCGAACCGAAAAATCCGTTCTCCTCTCTTCCATCCCTTATCCTTCCCCTCCAGATAGACAATGACAGGCCTATGATCAGAGTGACGCGGTTCGCCATTAAGCACCACATAACTTGGAAAGGTCTCGCACCACTCAACATTTGCTGTAGCACGGTCTAATCTCTCACATATATAAGTACGCATTTCCCTGCTGTGGTTCCTCCACGTAAACATGTCGCCTTCAAAACCTGTATCTCCTAGTTCACAATAGTTCAGAGCTTGGCGAAAATCATCAAGGTATCTTTGTGGGCGATCCGCACCGCCGATCTTCTCACTGCTTG